CCATGTACCGAGACAGTCCTGCTTCTTAACCATCTTTGTCAGCACATTCTTTGTCGCGCTGGAGGACATGCCTAATGACTTCTAACCCATCCCCTCCCACAGGTGCGCATTCACCATCAGCCATCTGACTGGGAGCTGGCCTCTCCTGCGTGTCTGCTCACAGGGACACAGCACTCTGGTCTTGCCTTAGCATGCATGGCAGCCAGAGCCCCCCGGAAACAGGTGAGCTGGCACTCTGTTTCATGCACTGCTCTCATGAGGTGGCATGCATTCACTCAAGAGAGGCAGATCCCCTGTCCTTGTGCTGGAAGATCAGACTTTTTTTTTTTTTTTTAACGTTTGCCAGAGGGCACATGCATTTGCCAGAGAAAGCATCACCCAGTGGGGACATGGCCATGCCACAGTCCCTCCTCCATTGCTCCTTCCTCTCAGGATCTTGGGCACATACACACAGGTCCTGCATGTTTCTCAAGTCACTGGGTCAGCGTTTGAGGCAGTTTCAGTTGGCCACGTGAGAGCCTACTGCCTTAAGTGCCAGGCCACAGAACCAGCCTGGAAAATTATATTAAAAAAAAAAAATTCTTTTACTTATTTATTTATTTATTTTAATTTGACCAGAGAGGGGCAGAGAGAGAGAGAGAGAAAGTGAGAGAGAGAGAGGGAAAGCCACCAGGTCCGGGACTTGAACCGTGGTCAGCCATGTGGGAGTCCAGTGCCTTTAACCACCACACCACCTGCCAGCCCCCAGAAAATCATACTTTAAGGCTATCAGGCTGAGGTCTGGAACACTACAATGCCAGCTGGTATCTCCTGGCAACTCTGGGCTGACCAGACATCTTCCCACGAGAAATGACCATGCCTACCTTTGACGGGACATCGGATTGTCACGTTGGCTTGAAGGGCTGCCTCCACAATGCCTCCGACCACGACGATCACATGGTCGTGCTCGGGCTTGGTGACGTTTCTTTCAATAGACAAGATGACAGGTGCCTCTTAATTCAAAGGAGAGAACTCTGTTAGGTTCAAGGTTTTATCTTTGGCAAAGCACTCTGCATTTGGTCAACTTTGCTGAGTGCTTTAGAGTGGAGGTTGGGTGGGACCAGCAGATGGAGTAATGTTTACATCATGAGTCTCCGATGTAGTCAACCGTGGTTCAAGCCCCGGACCCAGACATGTAAAACTCATGCCGGGCACATGTGTGTGCATACCCCAAATCCTGAGGAGAATGGAGGTGAAAGGACTGTGGCATGGCCATCCCCCCTAGGGGTTGATTTCTCACTTTCTGTCTCTCTGGCAAGTGCACGCTCCCTATAGAAAAAAAAACCAAAAAACAAAAAACCTCTGGAACAAAAGTACCTAAAGTCCTGAGGAGAATGGAGAGCAGGGGTAGAGTCCTGGCTCTGTACCAGGCTGAGAAGATGAGAAGTGCCCTCCTCTCAATAAACACAAAGTCTACTGGTGCAGAAAGAGCTGCAAGCAGGCATGTTCAATACGAAGCACATTTTGAAATCCAAATGACATCGTCCACCTCTTATGAAGACACACACAATTTAAAATACCATTCATTTCCTGGGAGGGGGTCCCGAGGATTGGCAAGTATCCACTAGGAGGTACACACCAACCTAAGGGTGGTTATTTTCTTTTGTTGGCTGTGATAGAACTTTAAAAATGATATTCCACAATATCAACACTGCCAGGTAAGCCCTACTGTCTGATTAATTCCCAGTTCTTAGAAAGGGAGTTCTAGAGCAGCTCTTTTCCAAATGTGGTCTTGGGACCAACAGCATCGGCATAACCTGGGGACGCGTTAAAAATGTCTATTCTCGGGAACCAGCAGTTAGCGTAATGGCTATGTCGCTAGACTCCCACGCAATCGACCGCAGTTTGCGTCCCAGACCTGGTGGCTTAAAACTCACGCTGGGCGCATGTGCGTGCGTGGCCAAGATCCTGAGAGGAGAATGGAGGAGAAGGGATTGCGGCGTGACCATTCCCCCTGGGGGGTGATTTCTCGTTTTCTGTCTCTCTGTCTGTTTCTGTCTGTCTGGCGAGCGCACGCGCCCTATAGCAAAAACCTCTCAAAAAAAAAAAAAAAGCGTATTCTCAGACTCCATCCCAAACTTACTGAGTCAGAACCTCTGGGCTGGGGTCCAGCAATCGGGTCTTAACAAGCACTTCACGTGATTCTGACCACACTAAAGTTAGACCAGTTTTACAAATTGTAATAATAGATGGTGATCGAATGTATTTTTTTTTTTAATCATTGAGAATTCAATCCTGGATTTAGTGAAACGGCTTTTCAGCTCTTCCTTCCAAGAGTTTAAATATTTTCATTATCACTAGCCTCAAGGTGGGACATTAAACATCTTTTTGCTGACAAAAAATACCCAGAAAGCAATAATAATAAATAAAATTAAATAAAGATAATTATTAAAAAAAGAAAAGAAACGTGTTGCTCTTGAGTTTAATGTTTAAATAAACAAAGAAATGAAAACAGGCATTCTAGGCTTCAGCGGTGGGCGTTACCTGAGTACAGCACGGAGGAGGCTCCCGCGTCGGACCCAAGGTGATTCACTACAGAACACTCATATATGCCTTGCTCCTTCCTTGTCGGATTCCGTATCTGTATTTTCCCAGTTTCATCCATAATTATTCTGTAGAACAGTAGAAAGAGTATGTATCATCTCACACATTTAACTGATCTAGGGCCCTGCACAGAAAGAAAACCGCAAAACTGTAGGGCTTTAGACTGGCAGCGATCCCAAAAGCTGACTTCGTCAAGCATCCGGCCTGTAGGCAGAAGGCCATGCAGACCAGGCAGGTGAAAAAGTCTCTCCTCTTGCTTTAGCAGAATGCAAGCTGGATGGTGCTTGCAGACCCACAGGCTTCTCGTCTCATTTTAAATGAGAACACGCTTTTCAGGATGAACTCGGTGCTTAATTACCACATTTTAAAAAGACAAACTAGCAAACCTATTGGTTTGGCCGATGTTAAACCCTCCTTTTCTGTCCCAATTTTTCCTAACGACCTGCAGGTATGGATATTTTTTCTTTTTCTTTTTATGTTTGTTTTCTTGCCAGAGGGTGTGTGTGCTCATCAGAAAGGGCAGAGAGACAGACAGACAGACAGAAAGACAGAGAAGCACCCTGCAAAGAGACATGGTCCCTTCTGCAATCCCTTCTCCTCCATGTCTCCATCCTGTAGGGATTTTAGGTACACGCATGTACATACACCTGGCATGTCCTTCAAACCTCCAGAGTGGGATTCAAACCGCGGCTGACCATATGGGAGCCTACTCCCTTAATCACTAAGCTACAAGGCCAGTCCCATATGTGGATTTTCTGTTGGTATTTTCACACTGGAAGTAAGTGGGCTTTGCTTCGGGCTGCTCTGTGTGGATTCTTTTCCATTGCTCTATGAAGAAGTCGGTTAACAACGCTAAGCTTGCAGTACATAATGGATTGGGACCATGCGATTAAGGATCAGAAAAAAGTGCATGCGTTTCTGTGGCTTCCCAATGACTGATCTCCCCCCAAAGCTGCATGTGAACACCAGTTCAAGAATCATCGTTGGCCAGCTGACTACCAACTCATTAGATGATTATTCAGAGATGATGGGAGAGAGTGCTGGTTCCACTGCTATTTTCATTTTAGTTTTTTGTAATGATTTGAATCTACTTCCAATCAACTGGCTCCTTGGTTCACATTCTCTTCTTCCCCTGCCCCATCTTGCTTTACACAACTAAGCAATACAAACTTCTGACCTCTAAATACTATATGTTTCTTCATGAGTTGGGCTGGGTCACTTCTTCATTTCCTGTCACTTCATGTAGCTTGCCATCATGAACTTCATGATCTTTCATCACCTTGAGCTTTTGTCTATATTATTCACTTTATTTAAAACCCCCTCCCCCCTTTCTGGCCAACTCCAACCTACCCACTGAGTCTTGGATCAAATGTAATTTCCCCTGCACAATTTCCCCCAATTCTCCCAGAGTTATCTTCTGCCCCCTGTGGGCTCCTTCCTCTCTGGTTCTTGTATTTATTTGTTGGCATATCGATTTCTTCCCACTAGATTGTGATCTTTTCACGGGCAGGGGCCAAATCTTATTCACAGCTGTGCACTGTCAGTGCTTAGCATAGTGATAGGTTAGGCAGAGCTCACAGAGCAAGGACCTCAGCAGCTTTGCAGAACTCCACGTCTGAATGATCAGAAGAGAAAAGAATAACGTTCCCGAGTAAAGGCGCGAGGAAGATGCAAGTCCCCCTGCGACACGTGTCTGAAATACCCAGGAGGAGGCAGAAACCCCAACAGTAAAAGCGCCCCAGAAGAACAGGAGGGTGGCAGACCTACCGATCCGTAGGGTCTGAGTTTCAAATCCCTACTGGGAAGGAACAGTTGCTTAAAAGCAAAAGCACAGAGGTCAGGGGGTGGTATAGCTATACAATGTGATGCTCCGCGAGGCTAGTCCTGATGGGAAGGTTCTAGAGGGCATCGAGGGCCTTCCTGGAATACACCAGGCATGTGTGTGGCCATAATCTGGAGCAGGCTGAGGCTGGGGGTGGACTGTGGTGTTAGGCCCCTGTCATGGATGCTCTCTCTGTGCCTCTCTTTCTTAGTCTCTCATTCGTGGAGGAGATAAATAAACTTTAAAACAAACAAAAAGCATAACCAGTAACAATAAAACAAACAAAAAGCATAACCAGTAACAATACATTTTTTAAAAAAACCTTCTTAGGAGAAGGTATTTGAAAATACATTTTAAAAAAACAACCTGGAGTAGCCAGGAAAAAGGCGAACGCTATTCTTATCTCACTCACTTCGCTGAGGGATGCAACGGCACTCCATCTTTGGTCCACGCATATGTGGCCTCACTGGGGGTCACCAGCTCACACAGTATATTGATCGTCTTTGTCCTTTTGGTGATGTATATCGTATTTCCAATCCTTGAATTAATCGTTTTATTAAACGACATTGAGGAGGGTTGGCTCTGCCTCAGGAGGACAGGTTGCCTGGGCTTGAAGGTTAGCTTGCCTGCCTTTTGCACATTCGCACTTTGGGGCACGCTTCCGGTTTCTCCCCTGAGCTGAGCCACGGGGTGGCCCTCTTCCTGGAAGCCCCTCCACGGCGTATGGGCTGGCGGTGCCTTCGCTAACTCGGCCACCAGCTGGTAGATCGCCTGGGATGCGAGGTCATCGCTGACCTCTCCGGTTTCCATGAGCTGACTCATGTTCCTGATGAGCTCCTCAAACTGGGCAGTATCCATGCTGTAGGCGCCCTGTTTGACTGCGGCTTCGAACTGCTTATGCTTCAATTCCCAGGAGTCGGTGTTCCCTGCAGAGTTGCTGCAATGGCCCAGGAGAACTCTCCAGAAAGGCTGGGTAGTGATCCGGCTCTCATCCAGAGAGAGCTTGTTTTTGTGACCCCACATTCGCCGCATTTTATGCCACGTGGATCCTAAGCTACTGGCCTTGCTGTGGTCCATCCCAGGGTAGCCCCTCAAGGGCTCTCGGAGGGCCGGGCGAGCGATGAGCCGGTTGTCGGTACCGATGAGCTTGAGGACCACTGTGTCCTGGGCGGAGCCTGCAACACACCGGTACACGCCGATGTCGGGGGCTGCCAGGCTGTGGATTTTGAGAGAGCCCGACTTGGTGATGCCCAGCCGTTTGGAGTTCTGCAGACAACGGCCATCCTTCTCCCACTGGATCAGGGATTTCTGGAATCGGCGCACTGGGCATTTAATAATCACAGATGTGTTGGGCAGGAGATAGGCCCTGCTACCGATAGTCAGGTTGATGCGCTTCTCTTCCCTCGTCTGGATGTAGACTCTCTGGACGCTGAGGATCTGAGGACCCTGTTCACCAAGCTTTGTCTTTGTCTCTGGTTTCGTTTCTGCTGGAAAAAAAGAAAAGAAAATGCAAATGAGCATCTCCAGAGTAAAACTTTTTGACAGTCATCTTCCGAAGCTGATACAAGCCAACAAACGTGTCTGCCTTATTCTTCTGAACCATTGGAGGGTTACAACACGAATAACATTATACATCCTAAGACTGGGGTACATTTCACTTGAGCGGCAAAGAATGCAAGTTTGAATGCGTTCCATGAAAACATGTAAATTATTTCACAAAACCCTAGTTTCATGAGGCATGAGGTTAAATGGTTCAGTTGAATAGAAGAAATGGTTATTTCTAGCTTTGGGGAATATTTGTTCAGTGCCAGAGTGTATGAAGATGTCACACTTATCCTGCTTCTAGGTCCATGTTTCCATCAGTAAGGTTGGATCTGATAGGCTGGGCCTCACCCATCTGGCAGGGAGGTCCCCAAGGAGCTAGTCTGGCTTGAAGCCATGGGCAAACCACATCTGAGGGAGGAAGTGAGGTGCAAATGAAAGTGAATACATTGGAGGGTAAGGAGAATAAGGTTAGCCAACTGCAGAATATAACCCAAACAGGGCCAGCATGTGGCATGGTGGTTAAGGCACTGAACTCCCACATAGCCAACTATGGTTCTAGTCTTGGATCTGGTAGCTTGAAAATCATAGTGTGTGTGTGTGTGTGTCCCCCAAATCTCCAGAGACTGGAAGAGAAAGGACTGTGGCGTGGCCATCCCTCCAGGTGGTGATTTCTAACTTTCCCTTCCACTGTCTGTCTCTGTCTCTCTGGTGAGCACACATGCTCTATGGAAAACCCTCAAAAAATCAAAAAAAGACTATAATCTGAATATGCCCATTAACTAGTGTGGAGTCCGAAAAAGCCATGGGGAGCAGTGATCAAACAATAAAAGGTAGAAAAGGCATGTTGAAGCTCAACCAGTCTGAGTTCGAATCTTTGATCTGCCACTTCGACAAGTCACGTGTCTCTCTGAGCCTCAGTTTTCTCACCGGTGAAACATGGTGATGTCAGTACTTTCATGGGAGTCGTGGGAGGACGAGGGTGCCTACAGCAAGTGCACAGGGCAGAAGTGGGCCTCAATGAGCTCTCATAGGTGACCACTGTGCCCGCTGACAGGGGACAGAGGCAGGTTCAGCCGATGAGCAGCAAGGAAACTTGAAAGGGAGTCAGAAGTGGCAGTGGCTTGTAGACACACTTCCTCATTGGGCTATGCAGATGAGGTCAGCCTCGCCATTGCCCGTTAAGTCATACAGGTTGTCTTTACATTGGCAGGGCTGCGTTTTGAACTTACCATCGTTCAACAATATGTGCATTTTGAACTTACCAGCGTTCAACAATAACCGAAAGCTGAAAAAAGCAATGTGTGGAGGGTTGTTTAGTGAGCTTGCAGTCCTTCTATATATCTATATCTACCTATATATATATATGAATATGATATATGAAATATATCTTATATAAAAGATATATCATATATAATATCTTATATATATATTACATATATATCACTTATTTATTTTGCATTCATTCATTGAACAGCATCACAGCATACAAGATGCAGTTTCCCATCCAGAATACACTGTATAGTGGCTTAGTCATACATGTTATCATCACAAATAATTTTCCACTGTTTCATACACACACACACACACACACACATTCCCCACCCCCCCATTTCTCACCCTCTGCCATATCCCACCCTCTATGAGTGTACACAGAGATGGGATTCAAAATACTTAATTTGCCCAGCCAGGGACCAATCAGCCAGAACAGGCGCGAGCTGACTTCTCTCTGGTGACTCCTGCGAGTTGCTCAGGAGCCGGGCCTGGAATGTGGCACCACAGGACACAGTTCCTGAGTAAGAAACAGGGCTGGTTGGGGATGACTGCTCCTCTCACATCTGGAGATGCCCCAGAATGGCAAGTCTGGCCAAGCCTGACTATCGGGGGTATCTCTCACCTGGCAGAGATCGGCCTTTATGCAGAGCATCTTCCTGGAGCGGCCGCTGGGCTATGCAGGGTACCACGCATCCCTCCACCTCTCCCACCATGCTGGAGGTGAGAAACGCTAAAAATGTGGCATTTCCAGAAGAGGAAAAGGTCTTTCTTCTGTGTGCCCCCCTGCCGGGTCTTTGTGCCAGCCTGCTATACGCAGTTTGGGCCGGCATGGCAGTTGCCTCGACGCCTTGCTTGCTCACGCCCTGCCTCTGCTCCTGGCATATCCCTGCCATGACTCCAAACCCTGGTACCATGCCAGGTTTCGGCCCCATGCCATCTGGGCTGGATATTTACACTTGACTGCTGCCATTCCCTAATGGGCTTGGTCTGCGACGAAGCCTCTGAGCCTTCCTCTTACCCCGCTGGAACCCTGCTTTGCTCAGAGCCCAGAACCAGGTGTCAGTTCCCTCTCCTTCCACCAGGAGGGAAGATCCGACAAACTTAGAAACTCTCTCAAGATCCTGGCTGGTTTTCCTGGATTCTCTTCTGATCATATCATTTCCTTCTAGGGTAAAATCTAAACTCCTAGGAATGAGCTCAAGCTTACGCTCAAGCTTGATTTGTTTTCAGCTGTCTACTTGAGTATAACTCATCTCGGACCCATGTTCTAGCTCTCTGGGACTGCTGGAAGTCTGGACAAACATTCCCTTCCACCTGACACCCCTATCTCTGTCCACACTACTCTGTTTCTCCAACCACCACCCCGCCATGTGAGCTGATGAATGGAACTTACCTTTCGGAAGTCTGCCCAAGACTTCCTCCTCTATGACATTTTTCTTGACCTCTCCCCACCCTGTGTCACTGACCACTATCTTCTGTTTGTTGAACGGATAAATGAGTGACTGAATGAGGAAAAGAAAGAGTAACATGCATGCTCTTGGATGCTGTGGGAGGTGGAAAAGCCCAGGAGGGGTGCTGGTGGTGGTGGAGGGGGGCTCTTCCTGGCAGGGTCTCCCAGGGCTGTGTTACATCAGGCAGGGATGGGTGATGCTGGAATCAGAGCTGAGGAGGCAGGAGGAAGAGTAGGAGCTGGGGAAGCCATAACCTGCTGTCAAGGTGTGTCCAATCTCAAGGTGCTGGGAGAGCCAAAGAGGCAGACCAAGGGCTGGAGAGCAGAGAGAGTCTGAGGTAACCCTGGGAAGGGGCTGAGGCCTATTTTCCTTGACAGACCACATGGCATGTGCCCGGGTGCCGCTCCTCCTTCAACTATCCCGATCTCAGTACTTCAGGAAAAAACGAGAATTCCTCTTTACCAAAACTTAGGAAGCCTGAAAACCAGGAGATGACATTTAAAGAATCTAAAACTATAGTCCTGTTTCTCTTTCCTTTCTTCAGGTGCTTGACTGGAAACCAAGACAGAGAGACTTCCAATAAAAATTTGACAACAATCTACGTCAGACATGTTATAAAAACATGTCTGTAGGTACAGTTCATTCTAATAAGCACTTTTAAAAAGAATTATTTCATGTATTTATTATTCTTAGTTAAATTTGGTATAGGTCACATATGCTTACCAAAGAGAGAGAGAGAGAGCGAGAGAAAGAGAGAGAGAGAAAGTGAGAAAGCAAGCTGCCAGGTTCAGAACTGAGACTGCTGTCAGCCATGTGGGAATCTAGTGCGTTAACCACAGCTCCACCTGCTGGACCATCTAATAAGCATTTTTAGAGCCTATAAAGAAACCAAATCCAACCAAACCAAAGCAACTATCTAGAGGAACTCCATTAGCTGCCTCACATGCTCAGACCCCAGTGGGCCAGAGATATAAGGGGAGTCTTCAAAAAGCTCATGGAAAATGTGTATTATAAAAAAAACTGTGGGTTTTTAAAACGTGTTTTTATAAAAATAAACTCATTCTTTTTCACTTTTCCACATGCTTTCTGAATTCCCCTCATGCAATACAAGTTACTCCATTTTATCCTATGTTCAAGTTATAGAAATTAGAGGGAAGCAGTGATGACATTAAAACTAATATTTCTGGGAACCAGCAATTAGCGTAATAGCTGTGTCGCTGGACTCCCATGTGGTCGACCGCGGTTCGCATCCCAGACCCGGTGGCTTGGAACTCACGCCGGGCGCGTGTGCGTGCGTACCCAAGATCCCGAGAGGAGAATGGAGGAGAAGGGATTGCGGCGTGACCATCCCCCCTGGGGGGTGATTTCTCGCTTTCTGTCTCTCTGTCTCCGTCTGTCTGGCGAGCACACGCGCCCTATAGCGAAAACCTCTCAAAAAAAACAAAAACAAAAACAAACTAATATTTCTGAGCCTTCAGTATGTGCCTGTCACTGTTTGTGTACATATTAAGTCACAATTTTCTACACAGTTCTGTGACGTAGGTGTAAGCACCACTCCATTTTACAGATGAGAAAACGAAACCCGAGGCTAAATGACTTGCCCCTGTCACATGATATGGTACTAGAAGAACTGGGATTTGAACAGGGAGTTAGTTCAACACAAGATCATATGACTAGTGGTCAGAAAAGTCACATCACATTTTTGCACAGAAAAATATGACATGACTTTTCTGATGACCCAATACCTTTCAGGCTTTGAATGCAACTGAAAAAACTTACTGGTCCTTAAAGGTCCGGGACTCAAACCACAGTCAGCTGTGTGGGAGTCCAGCGCCTAAACCACCATACCACCTGCTGACCCCCTCATTTATTATTATTGGGTCATCGGAAAAGTCATGATACATGTTTGCATGGAAAAATATGTCAAGACTTTCCCAACGACCCAGCCGGGTAGGGCAGATCTGAGGGGAAGCAGAGAGGAAATGCAGGAGGATTTTGTTCCACTGTAGCGTAGTATTTCTAGCGGGGTGGAAGACAAGTCCATTGACAGAGAAGCAGGTCTGTATCGTAGCTGGAAATAACAGCTATGGTGAATTTCCAGGGCATTTTTAGGAAATTAACAAAAAAACATAACTTATTTTTTTTTTTAAATTCATTTTCTACATTAATTCCCTATACACCATCACAACACACAAATGAATTTTCCATCCAAAATACACTGTGCATTGGCTCAATCAAGCCCATCAACATACATGTTCTCAGCAAAATAATTTTCCAATTCTTATGTCCTGCATACCTTGTCTTTTGTTTTGCCATCCTTGATTCCCCATCCCCCACCCTCTGCTATGTCCCATCCTCCTCCCCCATTGTCCCTGGCATCGACGGCTGCCCTCCATGCCTTCCCTCCCCCATTCAATTGTTCTGCCAATGAACTTAATTAGTCTAAATATATCCAATAGCTAGCACAGCTGACACATACCTATACATGTACCCAAGTCTGACTTTAGGCATAGACCCTAGTGAGTAGAATGAACAAAAAAACATAACTTATTTCTTAGTGAAATTCAAATAGTACCAGTATGAAACATACCTAATTGGCATGGTGATAGTTCCTTGAGCAAATCCCAGGAGCTCAGGCCAGAGAACCAAAAAACCAACCAACCAACCAAAGCTCCTGAAAAGCCCACAGACAGACTTGTGGCAGAAGGTTAAGGAAGGGCATGAGGGTCTGACAACAGAGGCAGTTGAGGGGTAACCAGGAAATGCCAGCTAAGAGGAATGATTCCTAGTACAAGAACACAAAGTTTGGGGATGAGGGGATACTGAAGAGCCAGAGTTCACAGTGAAGCGTTAATGAAAAGCAAGGAGGGGCTGGGGAAAGAGGAAGTGCAGGACACTCGATCTGAGTGCCAGGAAGTGAGGAACTCTAAGGTGTCCCCTGACAAGGGGTTGGCATCGGTGGGATGGCCAAGGTTGTGAATCTGGGCTATCAGGTGACTGTCACAGATACAAGATTTGTTATCTTGGCTGTTGTCAAATACGGAAGAGGAAGAAGGGACCTGGGAGTAGGGTGTCCTGGAGGGTAGAGCGTCTTGCGGGGTGTACATGGCGCCTTGGCAGCAATGACTTGGGCGGTCTAAGTGCCAAGTGGCCAGTGACAGCGGGAGGTGGTGCGGAGACAGCAGGGGTAGGGAGGGTGGGAGGATGCTGAGCTCACCCCTTGGCCCTGTGATACGGCAATGGGAAGAAGAGGATGCTACAGGAGAACATGAGGGAGAAGCCACATTCAGCAAGCCAGGGCCACTGATCCAAGGTGGTGGTTTGAGGCCAGGGTCTAGCTGAAGGGGAGGTCTCGCAAAGCACGCCTTGGCTACGCAGGGAACACGCATGCCTGTCCCTTGTCTGCTCCCATGACCTACATGTTTGGCAGGCTAGAGTGGAGCAGGGTGGAGAAGAAGAAATATTACTATCTTTTATTCCCCTTAAACACTATAATTTTCCCTGGCCTCAATTGCAGGCCATAATAATTTATAATTTCATCTCATACCACACTGCATGCCCTAATAACCACGATGTATTCCCACATGCTATTCCGCTATTATGTTAGAGAAAGCTGCCAACCTTCCTTTAATTTCCCTCTCTTCTAAGGCAGTTTACAGTCTACCCACATTGCTCTGCAACCATCCACGGTGAACGAAACCCCGGCAGATACGCAGCGCAAAGGAAGCGCGACAGCACACCATAGGCCACAGACATTCCTGAACTCCAGGAATGCTTCAAACTTGGCATCTCAAGATTTTGAAAATGTGTTCTCAAAGAATTTCCAAGGAAAAACAAAGTTATTGTCCATGAATCAGCACAGAAAGACAGCTATGAGCGTGGGCTCGGGAATCAGACAGAACTGTGGTCAAACGGCCCACGGAGGCCACTTGGCAGCTAAGGGGCCTTGGGCAAGTCTCATGCCTTTTTGTTCTTAGAGTCCTCATTTCCAAATAGGGATAATATCTGTCTCACAATGTCATTAGGGAGACTTCATGAAATAATGCAGGTAAGGAGTTCTGTGTATAAAGTGCTCAGTAAATGTTATTTTTTAACATATGTTTAAAAATGTTATTATTTGGCTTTGTGAGTATATCCAATAGGTAAATATATGTTTTCCCAATGCAGCATTAAAATAGGAATAGCCGGGACCAGCAGTTAGCATAATGGCTATGTCGCTGAACTCCCATGTAGTCAACCGTGGTTCAAGTCCTGGACCCGGTGGCTTAAATTCATGCTAGGCACGTGTGCGTGCGTGCCCAAGATCCCAAGAGGAGAATAGAGAAGAAGGGATTGCGGTGTGGCCATCCCCCCAGGAGAGGTGATTTCTCGCTTTCTGTCTTTCTGTCTCTCTGGCGAGCGCACACACCCTATAGCAAAAACCTCTTAAAAAAAAAATAGGAATAGCTCCTTTCTGATTTATTTTTCTTTTTCAAAAGTAAATTTCTTTTTCCTTTTTTTTTTTTTTTTTAGGTTTTCGCCATCAGGTACATGTGCTCACCAGCGAGAGGGGGGAAGTGAGACATCGACCTCCAGTGGGGGATAGCCACTCTGCAATCCTTTCTCCTCCATTTCCTCCTGGGATTTTGGGTGTGATTTTTTTTTCAAGCTGCCCGGTCCAGGAGTCTAATCATGGTTGGCCATGTGGCAGTCCAATGCCCTAATCACCAAGCCACCTGCTGGCCCCTCTTATCTATATTTTATCATAAACACGGGAGGGTACCTGATGTAGTGAATGTCATTTTACAGATTAATTTAAGAGAGTGAAAAGGACTCGGCAATGGTCATCCCCAGTGTTCCTGTGCTCAGCCTGTCTATCCCACCTCTCACGACCACTCTGCTGGGGCATTTTCAACTGATGTCACAGGAGCCTTTAATTCATTTGCTGTGACTCTTACAGGACACACACGTATGCACGTGTCCTTAAGAAGACTCTTCACAGAGTTTGTGGAAAATTTACATTATGAAAAACTATGCACAGATTTCAAAACTATTTTGCATCAAAAGGAGTTCAAACTGTAATCCCATCTTTCCATGAAGTTTTTCTTTTCTTTTTTTTTTTTAATTTGTCAGAGGTCATGTGTGCTTGCCAGAGAGAGACAGAGAAAGGGAGAGAGAGGAAAGTAAGAAAGCACACCCCCTCATGGGGCATGGTTGCATTGCAATTCCTTCTTTCCCATTTCTCCCATTTTCAGCATGCACACATGTGCACCCCGTATGTTTCTTAAACTGCTGGGTCCGAGACTCAAATCTCTCCATGGGCCATATGTGATCCAGCCACCTTAACTACCAGGCCGCTGGCTGGCCCTCCATGAACTTTTTGAAGTTCCTCTGTATGTATTCTCTTATGTGCAATGAAAATACAGTCAAATGCTACACACGTCTTAGCTCTGGATATGACAAAGCCATTACTCTTTATAGGATGCTATTATTTATGACTAATTGAAGAGGTGTCCAAACTGTTGTTTTTAAAAACGAAATGTATAACATGTTTTCATCTTTGCCAATTATAGATTTCAACTGCAAGAATACTTAAACATACTTAACTCTCCTAGTTTTAACAGAACGAATCCTAATCTATTACTAGCAGAGCAAACCAGGAAGTCTCAGCTGAACATCTCCAGGGAACACCCGTGAATTCAGAGTGAAAGAAAACACAGCATCGTAGAGGATATAAATTCAAACAAAGAAGCCGTAAGTGTGCATTTGTCCAGTGGGTGGATATTGCTTAAAACACACTTTTCTGAGAACTCTATTTGGGTCTTCCACCTTCTGGGTCAGCTGCTTAGGACAGATTCTGAGTTGTCTGATGAGTTTTACCCACAGATGAGCACCACTTTGATATGTGACACAGGAAGACATCGGGACAAAACGAACAGAACGAGAGCATCTTGGTGAACATGGGTGTTACATACTTACTACTGCACGCAGGCATCTGGCAAGATCTTACAAGAGGGAGGCCCGGTAGATCCCTGCACATGGTCTCGCTGAGGGGAATACGCCGGCCTTTGGCTGTCAGCCTCTGACACACCTGCTTTCTTCTCTGGACGCCAACCCCACAACTGACAGAACACTGCAATGGGAGCGGTGCGACAGTCAAATGGAGCATGCGCAGGCAAACCAGCCAACAGCAGCAGTCTCTCACGGTGTGAGGAGACTGTGAGAAAGCAAGTAAGCAAGCCATTTCCTGGGCCTGGACACCTGTTACGATACGGAGAGCTGCTTCCCCCTTCTCCCCTGCTCTCCCTTCCCTCCATTCTGTCTTGCCTCCCTCCTTTCCCTGTCTTATTTCTTCTCTCTCTTTCTTCCTTTCTTTAATAGCTCATTTCCATTCATGTATTGTGGGATTTTTTTTTGACATTGTAATTGATGTTTATTTTTTAGCTACTGGTTTATATAGAATGATTCTTATTTATATATATATAAAAAAAAAAGGATATGGGGCCAGCCTGTGGTGTGGTGGTGAAGGCAGCTGGATCCCACATGGCTGCTGCACAGTTCGAATCCTGGACCCACTGGGTGCATGTGCATGTGTGCGTGCCCCAAATCCGGAAAGGATGGAGAACTAGGGAGGGGATTGTCATGTGACCATCCTGCGTGGTCAGGCTCTCTCTCTGTCTCTGTCTCTCTTCAATGACTGCACACACCCTCTTCTACAAAATTTTTTTTTAAAATATGATACAAGGCCAGCTCTATGGTGCAGTGGTAATGCACTACTCAAGAGAAGCTAAATCCCACATGGTTACCACAGTTTGAGTCTCCAGCCTGGCAGCCCGAGACATGCTGGGCACATGTGCGAGTGTCCAAGACCCCATGGGCGGGAGGACTGGAAGAAGGGGACTGTGCTATGACCAGATCCTGTGGAGGGACTCATTTCTTTTTGCTTGCTGTCTCTCTCTCTCTCCCATGCATGCACATCTGCTCTATCGTGAATAAAGAAAAAAACTATTTTAATTAGAAAAAGTGACATATTACTAAGGGTCCAAGACAAAGAAATATATAAAAATAAATTTTGGGGGGCCAGCAGGTGGCATGATAGTTAAGGCACTAGTCTATCACATGGCTGACTGCAGTTTGAGTTCTGGACCTGGTAGCTTGCTTTCTCACTTGCCTTCTCTCTCCATGTCTCTCCCTGGTGAGCACAAGTACCCTATAGTAAATTTAAAAAAAATAATAATATATAAAATTAAATATAAATAATTCTTGAAAAAATATTTTTTCTTCTTTCTCTCTATCCCTCTCTTTTAAAGGCTTTTGCCATTGGGCACATACACTTGCTGGACAAAGAC